CGATGGTAATTCATTGAAATCACAGGGCGGTGAAACAATCCAGTGGCCTGTGTCTTCTTTCCACAGCCACAACGCCGATCTCCTTCGGAGCGAGACGCCCCTCGGAGTCTTTGAAGTACTTGATCTCGATCACGAAATCCATCGTTGCGGTGCTAACTCGAAGGCGTCCAACGAGAAACTAACGGCAATGCTAACGATCACACGCGATACCGAGTGCACAAAAAGACGATGACGTATACCTCAAATTGCTGAGCAGTGTATTTTCTTCGATTGTTTATCCGTCGTAACCTACGACGATCTGACGCGAGGCGTCGATCTCCAGAACGTTATCGTACTCTGCGTATACGATACAGTTCACGGTGGTGGCCAGCGGTTCGTCGAAGCGTACCTCAATTCGTACACTACCGTGCTTGATCAGGTTCCAGTGGGTGTTCCTATTTGCCGAGAGATCGGGTGTGAGATCGAAAACGAACAGGCAGTAGCCTTCTGCGTAAGCGTTCCTAGATATCGAATTATCCACGTTGAGGAAGTGTATGCCCGTGCCATTGAAGAGGGTATGATACGCGTCCACGTAAAGACCGGATTAGCCGAAATCGGTCTGCAGTGCTTTCGAGGGTACTTGAACACCGTCGACGTACAGCAATAAGAAATGAATACGATAGTTTTTAAAATTGAACGGGTTGAGTTGATAGTTGCCCCTGAAGGCCTTGTTATCGACGAAGCCTATTATAATCCGCTTAGGTAATTGGCCAAGAATCACGTTATCCATAGTGCCACCGTGCAAACCGGCGTGCATCGTCAGTGCCTTGACCTCTACACGTGTAAGCGGATACTTTGCCGTTGTCTTAGACAGCATTTTAGAATGAGCAATTAGAATACCGGGGCCTATTTTGGCGCGTCTAACGAGGAGCGTTGCCTCCGTTATATGTAAAGAACACTCGCTGGCGGGGTCCATGAGGGAGAAACCTTCTCACGTACGTACGAGCCGTAAACGGAGCTCAACACCATTTAATAAAAATTTCTCTTGGTTAAACACATCGCAGTGTAAATGACTTCCGTTATATGTAAAGAATACTCGCTGTCGGGGTCCATGAGGGAGAAACCGTCTCTCGTACGTACGAGCCGTAAACGGAGCTCAACACCATTTAATAAAAATTTCTCTTGGTTAAACACATCGCAGTGTAAATGACCGATCAGATCGACCATCTTGTCTTTACCGACGAATGCCTGCTTATTCACGAGACCCATATTTTTGCCCGCTGTATCGTCCATATGACCGGGAGTGTCATCGTACCAGAGCACGCTCGAGAGGTGTGACCCCTTAACGGCTGGCCCGTAATTTAATAGCGTCTCTATATAGGCCCTGTAAGCGTACGCGTTATTAGGTGGCGATACGAGTTTCTGATTAAGAAACACGTCCACCTGATTGAACAGCGAGTGTAGCAGATTGTTAACAAGGGCTGCTTTGCTCAGAGCATCAGAAGCTAACGCATCCTTGGATCGCAGCTGTACGTGTAAACTCAGCATGGTGTGGGCTAGATCGAGGTATTCGTCGCCGTTACCCGGCACGACAAATTCAATGGGCGAGTCATCGGTCAGCGATGAGATGGGCTTGTAGTGTACCCACTGGGCGCTCTCTATAGTGGTCTGCGTCGGTGGTAGTGTAAAGAGCTCGAGCTCCGATTTCATGCACTCGCACGAGTGAGCGTGTAGAAAGGCCATGATAGAGGTAACGTTTAAGAGAAGATATCCAGCACACTACGCTTTACTTTCTTACTAGCGACCCTACGACGATTTTTGGGTTTCTTGGTTTTTGACTTTATTTTTTTTTTACTACTACTTTTTTTTCGACGCGGCGCAGACTTCTTTCCCGTACGTCTCTTACGCTTGAAGATGGAATAGAATAGGGTACGAACGATGTCTTATTATAGTATATCGTATGTGGTTCAACATTAGTTTACGCTAGGTTTATTTAGGTAAAGTTAGAATAGGGTGAAATGTTCAAATTTCGGAGACTGGGTAGGTTAGTGAATAAGTATATCGTCGGCGAGCGAGCGAAGCGAGCGAGTCCGACTGAAGAGAGCATTAAATCCTTGAAAATGGAATAGAATAGGGTACGAACGATGTCTTATTATAGTATATCGTATGTGGTTCAACATTAGTTTACGCTAGGTTTATTTAGGTAAAGTTAGAATAGGGTGAAATGTTCAAATTTCGGAGACTGGGTAGGTTAGTGAATAAGTATATCGTCGGCGAGCGAGCGAAGCGAGCGAGTCCGACTGAAGAGAGAATTAAATCCTTGAAAAGGCTCCGTCAGATAAAGATAACTTACAATATAGATGAATTAATCATGAAACATCGCTCAAGAGGCAGAAATTCGCATTTGTGTCCAATTGGGTTTGTGCGCAACTGGGCATCACCCCACTCCTCTTTACTTTCTTACTAGCGACTCTACGACGATTTTTGGGTTTCTTGGTTTTTGACTTTATTTTTTTTTTACTACTACTTTTTTTTCGACGCGGCGCAGACTTCTTTCCCGTACGTCTCTTACGCTTGTTAGCGGCTCTTGAAGCGACACTCCTTCCAGCGACGCCGGTGATAGAGTGGGCGCCGCGTGATCGTTTTACACCTTTATAGCCCGATCCTTTCATGAGCTCGTCAATTTTCGCCTCCGCCTTACGTTTAAGATTCATACCCGATTCGGTGGCCCTGGTGCGAAACGCCTGTTTAAGCGGAGCGCCGCGCTCGCTGACGTCTGTCAAGATATTCATGCCCGCGCGCACCGCCTCCTTACCGACGGCTCGGGCTCCTCTCGATAGAAGAGGTAACACACGCCGAAACAGACCACCGAGAAAGCTACCAATACCATGTCCTCGCCTTTCCCGTACGTCTCTTTCGCTTGTTAGCAGCTCTTGAGGCGATGCTCCTTCCAGCGATGCCGATGATAGAGTGGGCACCGCGTGATCGTTTTACAGCTTTATAGCCCGATCCTTTCATGAGCTCGTCAATTTTCGCCTCCGCCTTACGTTTAAGATTCATACCCGATTCGGCAGCCCTGGTGCGAAACGCCTGTTTAAGCGGAGCGCCGCGCTCGCTGACGTCTGTCAAGATATTCATGCCCGCGCGCACCGCCTCCTTACCGACGGCTCGGGCTCCTCTCGATAGAAGAGGTAACACACGCCGAAACAGACCACCGAGAAAGCTACCAATACCATGTCCTCGCGATTCATATCCGATTCGGTGGCCCTGGTGCGAAACGCCTGTTTTAGTGGAGCGCCGCGCTCGTCTGTTAAGATATTCATGCCCGCGCGCACCGCCTCCTTACCGACGGCTCGGGCTCCTCTCGATAGAAGAGGTAACACACGCCGAAACAGACCACCGAGAAAGCTACCAATACCATGTCCTCGCTGATAAGGCGACCCCGCGAATACCCGAAATTTTGTGGAATATCCCCCACCGATCTGCGAGTCGTAGTAATCGGTGTAATGAGCCATCAGTCTAGCCGTTTAAAGTGTAGTGTTACGGAGAGCGTCCCTGATTCGAATGGTATAGGTTCGCCTAGTTGGTCTCTTATATCGATGTCGATCGTTTGAAAAACCCATTGATCTGCGAGTCGTAGTAATCGGTGTGATGAGCCATCAGTCTAGCCGTTTAAAGTGTAGTGTTACGGAGAGTGTCCCTGATTCGAATGGTATAGGTTCGCCTAGTTGGTCTCTTATATCGATGTCGATCGTTTGAAAAGTCGTGCGGAGCAGCGGTATATACTTTAACGGTGAAAACGAGAGCACTTTCATGGCGGCGTACGCGTATTTGTTACCCGTTTGCAGGGGAACTACACGCAGCAAGGGTGTTTGGACGTCGCCGGTGATATACGGCTCACAGACATCGGTGTAAACAAAAAGCATCTTAGGTAGGGCGTTGATCAGGCTAATCGGCTGATCAGCCATCACAATGGGCTTTGCTTTCGATACCACGACCGATTCGGGAAAACCTAGCTTTCGATACCACGACCGATTCAGAAAAACCTAGGATGCGTGCCAGAGATCGGTAGAGTCTCAGTTCGTGCGGGTCGTCTAGATCGTGTTGTGCTGGGAGTCTCCTGACCCCATTGACAAACGCCAGGCCAAG